GCCCAGTTTTGTTCGCCGCGGGCCGCGACCCCTTTCTTCACCGCGGCCGCGGCGAACAAAAAACTGCCAGCGCCCAACCTTCTGCAGAAAAATGTCGCGGCCTCGGAAATAGTCGCGGCCGCGGAGCTGTTGTTCACCGCGGCCAGCGGGAAGCTCCGCGGCCGCGGAGGACGCGTCTCCTACAGTTTTAATAGTAGTTTTTTTGATTTCGAGGGGATGATTCTCTCCCCTTCTGGGAGACGAACCCTAGGCCAGAGAAGACACAGAAGACTCCATTGTTCTTCTCCTTTCTTCCTTCTTTTTTCATCCTTCTCTTCCATTTTTCTTCCTCTTTTTCTTAGAATTCAAGGATTAAGCTTTGCAATTTTGGATTCAACACTCGAATTGCGATTTATTGTAAGTTCTTCTCATTATTTTTAATTCATGAAAAATGATTGAAATGAGAGAGATGATTGATTGTGTTGAATTGATATTGCGTAGCTAATTCTTATTGCTAGGGATAGGGGATAATTGTTCTTGTTTAATTCGTATCTCTCGGGCTTGAATTGTTCGTTCTTGTGTGGGTTGAATTGATTCAGAATTGTTGAATTCTTGTTCGATAGATTGATATAATCGAAAAGTGACATTTCGATCTTGCTATTGGTGACAGTTGGATGTTAATTTGTCGAGTTAGGGTTTGTCAATTCTAAATGATTAGTTGATTAAACACCTTCTAATTGACTTAGCGACTTTCAGAACCGAAAGGGGAGAAGTCGTAGAAATAGACTCACATGAGATAGATGATTTCGTAACTGATTAGTCTATAAATTTTGGGTTGGAATACGTGCTTTTCGATGACCCATCCCTTGTTACGAAAAGTTATTGGGATTGAGATAATTGACATGTGTCGTATGCTCGAGTTTATTCGTCTATATTCAATCCATTGTTACGAAGAGTTATTGGGAGCGAACCGCTAGATGTTTAAGCGAGAACATCAACCTAGAGTATAATGATTCATGTCTCGGTGTGCGAGTAGAACTTGAATTAATTCTCCGACTCCCTAGCTTCTTCATCTTTGTTTTCTTTGCAATTTTAGGTAGATTATTATTTTTACTTTATTTCTTAGTTAATAATTCATCCAAATGGCTATCTGATTAGAGTGTTTAGGATCTATTTTCTTTTTATGTGTAATTGATTCCAAAGCTGAATTCCGAACCGCCTTCCTCGTGAGATCGACCCGGGGAACGAATCTTTCGATTCGGTACTCGGTAAAAAAATAACAATTTGTGCTACAACAGATATTTTGGATGGGATGTATATTAAAAATTGTGTCCACATTTTTTTGTAACAAAAGCGGTTCATCTTTTGATTTTTAAAGTCACTTTATCCAATTATTTAGGAAAAATTGTGTGCAACTTTTCAAAATTTGAATGCATCGATTTTTTTGGATTCTTATGTTTTTTCCTATCCATGTTTTACCGAGATTTTGGTAAGTTCATATCACTTTTTTTGTTAAGTTCGTATCATTTTCTTTAGGAAAGAGACAGTTGCATAAACATTAACAAATTATTTCAATTTTTTATTAAAATTATTTTCAGTTCTATTTGTTTGGTAAAAAAAATCGGTGCAATGCTAGGAAAATTCAGTTGCATTTTTAAGAAAAATTGATGATTTTTTTATTTGGTTTTAAAAAATATTCGGATCAATTTATTTGATAATAAAATCAATTTATTGGTAGGAAAATCGATTTTATTTCCAGGAGTAACTAATGATTTTTTTCAATTTTTTTTAGTTGAAATTTAGAATAAGATTTAAAATAAATAATGGGTGAAAATCCCAAAAAGTTTCTATTTTTTTCTACTGTAATTTTGTTCAATAAATAAGATCCGTCATTTTGTTTAAAAAATTTATTAACTAACAACTAATAATATGCAATTTTAAATAAAATTCAAACACCTATATAGTACTTTGCATGTCAAATATTCAAACCAATAATGTTGTACATAAGGAAGTGTTTAATAACATATAAGTTTCATTTTCATGATATTTTTAATGTCATGGCATGAGACAATTTAAATACAAAAATACCTTTTGAAAAGCAAATAAGTAACAAATGCTCTCGTAGATCGCACGGGTACCGTATTAGAAGAATAGCAAAATATAGAATAACTCAAAAGGAAAAAAAAAAAAAAAAAAAAAAATAACTGGTCCCTTGAGAACATAGAATAACTCAAACAAAAAAAAAAAAAAAGAGAAAAAAATAAAAAAGGAAACAGATTCAATTCGATTTTTATGCACCTTGTGTAGTTCGTCTCCACATCTCTCCAGTACCACTATTGTGTGTCCTGACACACATTGCTAGGTGTGCCAGAGTTATAATTCACGCGTTGGTCGAGGCTAATAAAAGTGAAATTCTTTTATTAAATTGCGTCTGAATTACACGCGCCTATTATATTGTAAAAATTGATTACGTACAAAATTGACATGTTCATTTTACAATGAAACATATCATCATGTTAGGAAACATATTACGTGCAAAATAAACATATTCATCGTGTTAATAAACATGTTCATCTGAGACAGAAATATATTTATCTTATAATTTAACATATTCACCTGATAAATAGAACATATTCGTCTTATAATATAACATGACATGTTCATTTTACAAAGAAACATATTCATCAACATATGCATCTTGTACAAAATCAACATATTCATCGCGTTTATAAAAATGCTCATCTGAGAAAATGAACTTTTCGCCTTGAATATCCAGTAGTACTACCGTGTGCCCTGGCACACCTAACTAGGTGTGCCAGGGCACATTTTGCACGCGCCCCTCACTCCCCAAAACTAGAAAATTAAGAGAGTGTAGTGCACATTCATATTTTTCTTTTTTTAATTGAAAAATGAGACATATTACATAAATTTAAATATCTTTAATTATTTATATTAAAAAAATAAAATAAAAATACCAAAATTCATAATTTTTCATTATCTATAAATAGAGACCACATTTGATAGGTTTTTAAACACAATTATTTTTTTGTTTTTTCATAATTATTTTATTATAATGACATATAATGAACATGTTACATAATATGATGAATATGTTTTCAAATAAGATGAACATGTTACAGATTGCAGATTGAAAATAATACATATTCATCTTATTTTATAACATGTTCATCTTATTCTATAACATGTTCATTTTATTGTGTAACATATTCATTTTGTTCTATAACATGTTCATTTTATTATGTATGTAACATGTTCAGCTTATTATATAACATGTTCATTTTATTATGTAACATGTTCATCTTATCCTATAACATGTTTATTTCATTGTGTAACATGTTCATCTTATTCTATAACATGTTCATTTTATTATGTATGTAACGTGTTCAACTTATTTTATAACATGTTCATTTTATTATGTAACATGTTCATTTTATTCTATAACATGTTCATTTGATTATGTAACTTGTTCATCTTATTTTAGAATATGTTCATCTAAATTTCATCTGTGAAAATGTAACATTTTCATCTTATTCTATGGCATGTTCATCTTACTCTATAACATGTTCATCTTACTATGTAACATATTCATCTAATTATAGATTTGCGTCATAATCTTCCAATAAGATGAATTAATTATAAAAAATAATAAATTAATTGTGTTCCAAAAAATATCAAATGTGGTCTCTATTTGTAGAGAATGAAAAATTATGAATTTTGGTATTTTTATTTTTATTTTTTGATACAAAATATGAATGACAATTTAATTTATATAATATGATAAATGAAATTCATTACCCAATAAAAATGGGACACATGTCCCATTTAAAAAAAAAAACACTTATCTCCTTACCTCTCACGCGCCTTTAGAGGGGATGTAATTCACATAAGGCCCTGACACACCTAGCAAGTGTGCTAGTATTTGCGTTGAATATTGGCCTAGGTTACCTTGGCACACCTAATTATTTACGA